GAGGGGGATTGGGGAGAGAGGGAGGGAAGAAAGGAGAGAGAGAGAGAGAGAGAGAGAGAGAGAGAGAGAGAGAGAGAGAGAAACATGGATATGAGAGAGACCATGGACTGGTTTCCTCCCGTACGTGCCCCAACAGTGGACCAGAGATGGAACCTGCAACCCAGGTATGTGCCCTTGACCAGGAATCGAACCCCAAACCCTTCAGTGCACAGGCCGACACTCTAACCACTGAGCCACGACGGGCAGGGCTGGAAAGAGCAATTTGGTGCAGGATATTGTGATTTGAATGCTGAAGATATATGTCATATTTCCAAGTGTGAAGTCCCAATGTCGCAGTGATCAATTTTCCCCAAATAATATGCAAATATCCGATAATTCCCATCTCGATTTCAATTTTTTTTTTTGAGTGTAATGGTGCTGATGTGCTTTTAGAAGAATGAAGTATTATATTTGAAAGATAATTGTTTTTTCTTTTAGGGCAAAATAAGTTGTATGAATCAGAAACTTGCCCTACACATTATTAAAGTATTATGGAATTAAAATAGGTATAGCATTTAAATGATAATGAGCTTTCAAAACAAACACCTTCTTTTTCTGTGTGCAATTTTCTTCACGGAGGCTGTTTTCTCCTTAGCAAGTCTGTAATTTTGCCAAAAGGGAAAGAAGCTCCGTGGACTCAAGTGCAGGCACAAGGAGAATAAATAGCTAAAATGTAACAGCTCCAGGATCGCACGTTGCTGGTAATTATTCTGCTACTGCCGGAGAAAGAAAGCAATAAAGGAAAGATACAGAGGAGAGTTTCAGGGCGAGCTTGTACTTATTAATTCTTTTCGGGCCTAAAATGACAACCCCACTCTGTTTGCAGCACTGGATCTTGTAGAGAAGGAAGTAAAAGACAAACGGAGTCCCGTTCTAAGGAGCAGTTCTCCGGCCGGTGACAGTGGATTCGACTTCACGTTTCAGTATGAAGCTGGAACTTGTGCTGTGTCTCCAGGTAACGCACAGGCTAACGCGAAGAGGAGCTTGAGAGAAGTGAAGATCCAGGGGACACGTGGACGGGCTCAGCTCGTTTCATCGGGCTTCGTGGACACCGAGTCTTTTACAAACTGAAGGTCAGGGGTGACCCCGCGTCAGCTCGTCCATCGGCACTGTCTTCCTGACAGCGGTTGCTGGCTGCGTGTCCATCTCACTGTGGCAACTCTTGCAACATTGCAGACACTTTCACGATTCTCCCATGTGTTATGGTGATCTGTGGTCTTTGACGTTACTATTGTGATTATTTTGGGGTGCCACATGTGCCCATACAATGTGACGAACGTATTGTTTTGCATCCCCCCAAAACCTTCTTAAAAAGGAAGTTTGGAATGTCCTGGGAAATAAATATGGCAGAACATCACACAACTTTGCATCCATTCCAAGGTCCCCCAGGTTATGCAGGTATAACACCTTGTTGGCATTTAAAGGGACCATGTTCCGCCCCGGCTTGCATAGGGAAGTGTATCAGAGGCGATGTGCACACAGTAGGTCCTCCACGGTGGCTGGTGGTTGTAAGCAACAAGCACATCTCTGGTGAAACTTCCGGTGACCGTATGTCCCACTGAGCCAGAATGGGCCCCCAAATCATCGGCTTCCTGCTGCCGGCTTACCCCCCGGGGAGGAGGCCGAAGGTCGCCCATGAGCAGAACAGACCTGCTCGGCCGGGGAGGCAGCAACCGCGAGCCAGTGCTCTTCAGAGGAAACAGCTCCCCACTGGCCTCTCGACTCCTGTTCTATAAATCCCTGGGTTTAACACCGGAATATGCCGGGCGCACTTTTGAAAACCTGATCTGAGGAGAGCTTAAGGAAAGGAAAGCGAAACTCCACAGAACGCGCTTTCAGCCTTTCATAAAATGTTCGCGCGGCGTAGGTCTCACCTGGGATTACCTCCCTGCCAGGTAACAGTGTGGAACTGGGAGGCAGGAACAGGGTGCCTGCAGGGGGAGGTGCGTTGGGAAGAGGGATGTGTCCTCGGAGGGGCAGGGAATGAGGCCTGCCGCTGGCGTGCAGTATGAACTTCTCTCGACGCCTCTCCATCCTGCAGATGCTGGGGTAGGTCTCGCACATGCTCCCCACGGCGACCTCTGTAAGTGACCTCCATGTGGGATCGGTGGGCAGCTCTGTGGGGGGATCCGGAGCTCCCTGCTCTGGAGGCTTGTGCACCCCTGGTTCCAGGGCTTTTCACAGAACCACCTCCCCTCTGTCTTCCCGCAAAGCCGCCTCCCGGCTCAGGAGGCCCTGGCTAGGCCGGTGCTTGAGAAGTGAGATGGGGATGCCGCCAGGACCGGGACAGAGCGCGATCGTCCACATGTGATCCACTCTACCACGCCCGCACTTCCATGGGCAAAGCTTCCCAGGTCCTTTTGCCGACAGACTACGCAGGCTTAGAAGAGGCTCCCGTGCCTCAGGGTTCGAGGACTCTGTGCTAGGGTGCCGCAGGTGTGTCCCTTATCAGAGTCCTAATCTCGCAGTTGCTAGTTGTCCCAATTCCTGTTAAATTGGTTCAAGAAATCTGTCTCTGACCACGTGCAAGACCTGGAAATGGACAAACTTAACAAAAACATGCAGGATGCCCTGGTACCCAGAACAGAAGTTCCTAAGAGAACTTTCAGGAGCCGAAATGCCACAGAAAATAACTACCACTCAGCCACGTGGAAAAGCTGCTGAGTGTCCCCCAAACAACGTAGGAAACCACACCGAACAGCGTGTAAGGCCTACACCAACGCTCACAGGGAGTACAGAAATGACATGAGGAGTTCTCGGCGGGCGCCGCTGCCGCAAAACCAACGCTGCACGTGATTTTCCCTTTTTGCCATTTTTTTGGGTCAAATAAAAACTCTCTTCAGATGTCTTCCCATTAGCGCCAACAGGTACCCACTGAACTAGGTCTCTTGTCAACGCAAACTGGCGCCACGTGGACTTCTGAGAAGTGGGGAACGGCATCTCGGAACATTCATTTTTGTTCAAGTGCCTCGCACTTTGCACGATGCCTGTTTTGGCTGCACAAGACGACGCTATGGCGAATGCCACCCTGTCACACCAGGGCCTCTGAGGACAACTCATGCTGATAAATGTGTAAAACCACCAGGATGAGGAGCCCTCCAGGAGCCCGGAATTTTCCGTTCTGATTGTGCTGCAGGTGGGGGGAGGGGGGGCTTGGGTGAGGGATTGTAGGAGGAGGCCAGGTGGCTCCCGCTCTGGGAAGGGAGAGGGGCTCAGGGGCAGACAGAGTCCCAGCAGGTTGTGTAAACCTCAAATGGACGTGGACAATAGTGTGGTGACTGCGGGGATGGAGGGGGATGGGCGGTGGTGGAAGAGGGGATAGAGGAGATAAAGAGTGATGGGAAACATAAAATAAAAATGTTAAAAATTCTTTAAATATTAAAAAATAAATTAAAAACTAAGTACAAGACTGGGCTGCAAGATGTACAACACTTCCGAATAAAAGCTGTTGCCAAAAGCATTGAGATAATGTGAGGAAACGAGGAAAAAAAAAATCCTTGAATCTCCAGATCTGCACCAACATTTACATTAAGGACAAAGGGTTTAGGGTGGACACTGGGGGATCAGTTCCATGTTTCTGCTGAGTTTCTGCGTTTACCCAGGAGGACACGGGGCTCCTGCCTGGGAACTGGATGGTGGGCAACATCCCGCCCTCCCACACCGACCTCTTTCCAGCTAAGACAGAATTCGGTCTAAGAAAAGGACAGAATGTGCACTTACGTATAACAGAAGCTCACACACCAGACCCCGCGACGGTTTTTCTGTTTAGTGGACAGATTTATCCGGACTTTGGGGCCATAACAATCTGCTACACAAGGTGAAGATGCAGAGAAGGCTGCGAGTGGAGGATGCGCGGTTACCCAGGGAGAGCACGGAACGTGACCTTGGAAACTGTTTCCACAGGGACTGAGGTGCTCCCTCCAAACACGGCAGCCTCCAGAGCCCTAATTAGTGGCTCTAATTAGTCTAGTTTGGAACCACGTCCTTCTGAATCGAACACAAGTGCATTTTTGAAGGCTGTAAGCCGTACCTTTAACTCTCTCTGGGCCTGTGTTCCCTCAGATTGAGTGACTCAGGCTCTAGAAAAAATGAGCATCCACGGAACGCCCTTGAAGAGACGCCCAGCTGTGGCCCGCGGGCCGAAGGTACCTCAAGCCCCGTACCGTTGACCCACACTGTTCAATCATTTTGGGAAAATGTGCCAACCTACAGTTTCCAGCTTTCTTGAAAAACCCACAGATCCGCTTTCTCATGGCAATGACCAGCCAGACCCGAGCACCGTGGGAACCCTCTGGGAGGAGACAAGCCGCTGCTGTGTGGCTTTGCACAAGTCACTCACCTGCTCTGAACCCCTGCCTGCCGACGCAGAATGCCAGCCGTATCCTGTCCTGGGTGCTGTGAGCCAAAACCCCGCGTCTGACTGAAAACCAGCACCTACTACGTCATGATGGGGCAACCTGTCCCAGCAAACCCACCTCTCCATGTCCTGGGGACACTGGGCCCTGGGGACGGAATTCCTTCTACGTTTCTATGTCCTGCACACACAGTTCAGTGATGTCACTAGAAGCACTGGGGGGTGGGGGTTGGCACGGTCAACAAACACCGACTCAAACACATTTCCATCAAGTTTATCAGCGAAGCTCTCAGCATCTCCTCAACTCAGTACTAAGACGAGGTAAGTGAAGGGCCATCTTTACTAACACAGACATGAAGCGTCTCCCACACATCAGCAGGCATTGGATGAGTCAACCAATGAATGAATAAAACGCTGGATGGATAAATAAAGAAAAAAGGCCTGGCCGGTGTGGCTCAGTGGTTGAGCGTCCTGCGAGGTCACGGTTCGGTGCCTGGCCAGGGCACATGCCGGGTTGCGGCTCATGTGTGGATGCGGTAACGGCACACAGGCGGCGGGCCCTGCCCAGAAAGGGACCCGATAAAGAGCAAAAGCGGGTGCGTCTTACCTCCAGAGTGAGGCGGGGGGCCGCACAGCAGGACCACGCCCTGGCCTTCGCGCACCGACACCGCGCTTCGCATTCTGGTTTTAAAGTTTTCCAGATCTGATTTGAAAACAAAACAAAACAAAAAAACAGCACTTCAGAAAGAACGAAATCAAAATGTCCGCGCAGTGAGCTCCTTTCTTTCGTAGGGTGACATTTAAAACCAATACCGGCCCGCTAATCATGTTTCTATAACCCTGTCAGACATAGCAGGGCTGCCCCAAAGGGCAAACGGAGCAGGTGTGAGCATTAAATCACCGGGAAAGGGGACCCAAAGGAGGAAACGAAACATCTGCAAGCAAGTATCTACATGGCCTGGTCCCCACACCGGTCACAGCGATTCACCAAATCACAACCACCTTTAGCTTCTCCTGGCAACGAGCCAACTCTTCATACATTTTCCTGCTAAGATGTGTCATCATCAGGAGCACAAATGAATGTCATTCCACCTGTGACTGGTGGTGCTATTTATACACAGCGTTGAAAATATTCCACTCGTGGTTACGAGTCCTCTCGGCCCCACGTCTTGGAGAATTCTGTGGGAGTGATTCACGGGCAGCGACCGAGTCGGGGGAGTTCACAGGAGAGCAGTGAATTACCTCGCACAGTCCCCTTGACTGGCAGCTCTGAAAAAAACAGAAGCTGTCTTTATTATCGCCCAAGGAATGTTCTTCCGGCGGGTCATGAAGCCATCGAGGCAAATGCTATTTTGATCGCCTTAGTGGGTTATTTTTAAAACATTTAATTTCCTCCAAGAACAATCAGGACAGCAAATCCCGACTCACGCCCTCCAGCTTAAACTGCACCGAGAAAATCCTACTGGTTTTATTTTGAGCAAAGCTGAGGCCTATGGGGGGAAAGGAAGAAAAATAATTTACCCCTTCGTGAAAGTCTCACTAAAAAAGAGGTGACTTCTACGGACACAGTCGATGGTGTCAGATTCCATCTCCAGGTGACTGCACTGTTGATTTGTGGGAAAACACATCCGTTTCATGGCTCCTGACGGTAGATGCAGACCGTCCACGCGGCGACTAGGCAAAGGAGGCAGTGTGTGTATTTGAGGGGGTAACTGAGAAAATTTCAACTTTGCCTTGAAAAATGTAAAAGGCAAAATAATTATCTTTAAATTGGTGAAACTACAAACTGTATACTAGTACACGTTGGCTGTTCTATGCACTTTAAATCTGTGCATCAGCCCTGGCCCGTGAATCTCAGTGGTTAGAGCACTGGCCCGGGCACCAAAAGGTTGTGGGTTCGATTCCCAGTCAAGGGCATGTACCTGGGTTGCAGTTTGCTCCCCAGCCCCAGTCAGGGGGCATGCGGGAGGCAACCGGTAGATGTGTCTCTCTCACCGCAATGTTTTTCTCTCTCTCTTTCCCGCCCTTCCACTCTCTTGAAAGCAATGGAAGAAATATCCTCAGGTGAGGGTTAATAAAAAAGTAATCGGTGCATCCGAGGGAAATGAGAGAAGTGCTTCATTTCATTATCCCTGAACGAGTCTTACATTGCTGGTTACAAGCACGGGCAAAGCAAATCAGCGAAGCTCACATATACGTGGCTATGAAAGGAGCCAGAATGCGTTCTGGACTTACTGTAACCAGAGGTCCCCTGCAAAAGTGATACGATAAGTGAGCACTACGTCCCCTTAAATGTGTGAGTAAAGTGCAATATTATCACAGCGCAAGGCTCCTGAAATGCAGCTCAGTTAGCAGTGCCAAACTGCACCCTCCGACGGGTCCAGGCTAAGCCGGGGTAAGGGAGGGGGTCGGGATAGGGGGCGGCATACCAGGATAAGCTCACACGTGGACAATAACCAAATGGTGCCTTTCTGACCACCCATGGGTGTCAGCCTTGCTGCTCTCCTACCCAATTCCTGTTCCAGTGGTTACATAACTTCACGCCGTGGAAGGGAGTCATCGCTGATTTTGGCCAGAATACGCAGAAAGGATGAAACAGTTCTAGAACAATCGCGTCTCCTCACCCTGAAAGGTAAGAACCTTTTTCCCCTAAGCACCAGTCAGTCCTGCCGGGCACAGGTGTGACCACGGCTCAGGATGCTGCGTTGGTGCTGCCTCTACAGGCTGTGAGGACGGGGCATTATCTGTGGGGCCTGACGTGGCCGGTTCACGGAGCACACGCATCCACACACATCTACACACATCCACACAGCAAGAAGTGGACGGTGTTGGCTTCAACATGCTTCCTATGGCTCTGCTCCTGGATTCTTAGTTGATGTCACCCAGGGTGTGGTCCAGGGCCCCGGCCTCGTTACCGCCTGGGAGTCTCATTGCAAATGCGGATATCCGTAGACCACCTGTGCATCAGGCTGCATCAGAAATATTTTTTATTATTTAAATTTTTTTTTTATTGATTTCAGAGAGGAAGGGAGAGGGAGAGAGATAAAGAAACATCAGTGATGAGAGAGAATCATTGATTGGCTGCCTCCTGAACGCCCTACACTGAGGATCAAGCCCCCAACCCGGGCATGTGCCCTGACCGGGAATCAAACCGTGACCTCCTGGTTCATAGGTCGACGCTCAACCACTGAGCCACGCTCCTTCTCCTGGAAACAAAGGTCTCCAGGGGCACCCGAGGTATGGGAGAACCCAGCGCACCCGCGTGAAAGGTGTATTTTCAAAGCCAGTTTGGTTTTAACAGGGCGATGGGAAAAGCCGGTGTTCTTAGACAAAACCCCGCCAGACCAAGAGAGCTGGGATTTCAAGACCCACAGAACCTTCTATTTCAAAGCCTCCCTGTGGAGCTGGGGGTGTGGCTGGGGAGCCCTAATAATCGCTTCCCCACACACCCTGGAGCCTTCCACTGGGACACAGCCACGCCCCAACTGGGCACTGAAGAGCTCTCCTCAGGTGACAAGGTCCTGAGCCTGGGAACAGATCACACCACCTCAGTGCAGGTATTTTAATTACGGTCGCAAACACTTTTTAAAACGCTTTTAATGACCTTGAAGAAAATGTCGCAGCGGCACCTTCAGCCAGGAAGCGGGGTGGGCGGCCTGCCCCTGTGTCTGTTACTAAAACTGCGGTGGGATTCTGTGCAAATGTCTCAGACCCTGGGAGATGCTGCCTCTTATGCAAATGCAGGTTCTCCTTCCCCCACCACCACCTGTGTCACTCACCTCCTGCAAAGTCCCTTCTCCTTAGGCTTCAGCTCCTTTTATCTGACTTAACCTCTTGCATTGGATGGGCGCTCCCTCCCCCTGGGAACCCCAGCATGTCTACTGTGATTGCTCTGCAATTAGCAGAGCAGTTGCTCAGTAATATTTGCCGAATTCCATGCACAAAGTGAGTCTAAAAGCTCCTGATCTTTGCACTCTGGGGTTTGGCTGAGTGTATCAGTCAGGGAGACCGTTTATAAATTTCATGGAACAGTTGCCTTTAAGACCTGTGATTTTAACGATGAATATTCTTTGTTGCATTATACCCTTGCTTTTATCTGTCACAGGAATATGAAAAGTAAAAACACACTAGCAAACCAAGGACTCTCCTAACACTACAGGAAACAGCACCAAATATGGCATCCTGACCCTTGTTTACAAATAGTTTATTACTGAAGGAGTCCCCTCAACAGCCCATTTGCAGAGGGGCAGGCTGGCTCACTGGGGGTGAAGGTGGAGGAGGAGGCCTATGGGCTGACATTCAAAGAGCACCTTGGTTACAAAAAAAGAAGCTAATTGGCTTTATTTTTCTTTAATGAAGTGGTCATTTCATACTGAAAAGGCTTATCAAAATAAGAGAGAAACATCAACGATTACTTATGAATTGTCGAAAAAAGTACTTACCTAATTCAAGTGACATGGAGATTTTTTTAAAAGCATTGAAATCACTTCCCATGCATGAGCCTCTACAGATACACAGCTTTTAACCGATTTTCAAAAGAAACCCGTGAGACAGGTCACGTGTGTCCTCCTTCCTCCCAATTTCACACGCGCAAAACCAAAGAGAACTGGGACTTCGCCCAAAGCCACGCTGCTCATGGGGAGTCAGCCCCGGGCTGGTGGCCTCCCACCCCCCACCACCCCCGATTCCTAACTTGGAGAGAGGAATATCACATCCAATGGACACTGAAGCCTCTCACTGCCTTCTGTCTGTAGAAAATTGGCCTTAGAAAAAATGCTGAAAAGGATTCTATTTGCCCAATTTGAAAGTCATATTTACCGAACATTATTCTTTCCCACATCCACTCAATTGTTGAACAAACCTTTTCAAGTGCCCCCAGGGCCGAGCGAGGAGATGTATTTGCGCCTCTGAAATTTGTCTGCGCCCCTAACCTGTCCGGCTTTGGTTCTGTTTTCCCAATGAGGAGGAAACGCCTGCTCAGGACTCCCTGGGGCTGATGCGGGGTCGAAGGGGATGGTCAGTGACACAGCTTTCCGATGGCGCACACAACACCCACCGTCAGTGCTCCCTTAGTCGCCAGTCTCTACAATCTGACAGCCATGTTTCTTCAGAGTCTTTACACAATGTTGCTCGGTGTGTTCACGGTTATTTGTTCATTTAGTGCCCACCCCCATCCTGGCTAGAAAGTGAGCTTCATCCCTGAATCCTGGGCACGGGGATTACGGACTCAGCGTATGAACAGGTGTCATCGCGTGGTTTCCACAGGAGACCTCAGCCCACGCTCCACACGAACCCACACAGAACCGTACGTTCCTGACCGTAGCGGAGGTCACTTCCTCGCGTGGCTGACTTCTGTTCTCTGCTGAGGAGCTCTTCAACAACTGACTTAAAGCTCACCAGGCAAAGATCGAAGAAAAACCCTCCCACTGAACATGAGTGCGGGATTTAAAGAAACGGGTGCATTTCTCCTGAACTTTAACCCTGGGTCAGGCTCACGACGTCACGCACAGTCATTTTAAAACTTTCATAAACAGAAGTATGTAATTTACAACTAATGGGGAATAATAAAAAGTTACGTTTTTAATAATGAGTTCCTGGAAATTTTTATGAAGGCTTTAAAAACACTTAGCCAAGAAAAAAATATCAGCCTAATAAAGTGATTTAAGAAAAAAAAAGCGTGCGTATATTATTGTGTCCTTTTCA